CGAGTTGCATCGTACAACTCCTTCTGAGTTGGGCTTTAGGATTGAAATAAACTGCAAAATTCACAATGACAATGTGTTCCAACAAAACATGGTAAGATTCCCTAAAAAGTTTTGATAAGTCTGTAGGGCTTACTCATCCTTCCATTATAAATACAGTATAAACATCCTGGTTTTCTTTCTGTGATTGGCTATAATACAATTATATCCTCACACAAAACATGATAATATGAAAAGAGCTTTAGATTTATGATTTAAAGATTCCTCATTGATTGGAACATTCCATCTTTCACTTCATGAAGATGCCTCATTGAATGGAACATTCTATTTTCCAGCTCATGAAAATGCCTCATTGAATGGAACATTCCATCTTCACAGTAGGACAGCCGATAGACGATTTGTCCGTTATATCGCGATTTTTCGATCTTACTTCCGCATTTGCTTTGCGCAGCGCCACCTATCGTTTCAAAGCGTAACCACGTTTTAGCGTCGCTTAGCAAAATTGCACATGAAAATAACTCATTGAATGGAAGATTCCATCCTTCACCTCATGAAACATTGAATAGAACATTCTATCTTTTGTCAATATTTGAACAATATTTTCCAGAACTTTGATGCAGAAACTCATGTTGAATTTGTAATGAAGCAGGTGGCACTATCTCAAGTAAATGAAATTCACATTTAAACTTACACCTTCATATTTGTAATATCCGTTTGCAAATGAACGTTAATTTTCAGGTTTTCTAATTGTTTTATCAAATATTGCAGGGTTGTCTGAAGTAAGAAAAAAAATGTTTGTTTTACAAAGTTTTCACATGAGGCAGACCTAGTGAGCCTGTTTTAATTTCCTCTTTTTGCCTTAATTACCGAAAACTGCAACTTGTACAGCGTTGTTGCTAATAGCTGGATGTCCATCAATTATTAAATAGACTCAACAATGACAAAAAATAACAAATATATCAAATATAGGAATTTATGTAGGTACTAAGATTTATTATACTAATAATATGATAAATACTACCTAATTTTATTATTTCATTTACCAATACTATTCCTTAAAATTAATCCATGTTATTATTGATATACAACCATTAAAAACATAATTTGTTACCATGGTTTCTCCAGTTCCTAAATATTTTATGAATGCGACAGTTACAGTGGCGTATCAAGGAATCTTGAAATGGGGAGAGGGGGATGTGAAGGTGGAGTGGGGATTGATGATTAAGTGAGGGGCGCTAGGTCACAAAATAAGGTCATGTGGGGTAAATTTTAACTACTTGAACATGATTTTTTTTCTTCGAAGGTGAGGGGGGAGCTTAAGATTTTTCATGTGCCCCACATATCCCCTAGCTACATCACTGGACAGTTACAGTAAACAACTAACATTTCTTGTCCTACAAATTGGTCTTGCTTGATCATGCCCCATTAGTTATTACTAATCCCTAATAAAACATTAGCCATTGGGAATAGTTCTACTTAAATCAATCAGCAAAAAATATGAATTTTCTTTGGTTTTAGGAAGTTCACCAAAGTAATTTTGATAAATAGTGGCTAAAAGACATCCTAGTTCAATCAGTGTTACCAATGATGGGTGAATTCCTGTAATAACCAGACATGAAATGAAGTCAACAGTGAACTTCAAAAATAGTTACTGAAAAAACAGATATTCAAAAAAGAAAGAAGGTTTTAATATACTGTACGTAAGTATGATAGAATTTAAACTTATCGGGCAGCTGAACATTAAATCAAAATATTAAACTGGAATATGGAGAACACTTTTATCAATGATGTACCATAAAACTTTGAATAGAAGCCCTGGGTATTTTTAGGACCCTTGAAATGGTTCATTTTTTCCAGATTACTTTTGCAAACAAAAGAGGGGACTTCTTTTCAAAATGAATGCTGTAAATATTTGGAATTGCTACCATACAGCATTGTCCCCTGTACATAAGTATGATAGAATTTTAATTTATCTGGCAGCTGAACATTAAATCAAAATATTAAACTGGAATATGGAAAAGGCCTTTATCAATTATATACCATAAAACTTTGAATAAAAGCCCTGGGTATTTTTTAGGACCTCTTGAATTGGCTTATTTTTTTCCAGATTACTTTTGCAAACAAAAGAGGGGACTTCTTTTCAAAATGAATGCTGTAAATATTTCGAATTGCTACCATTACAGCATTTATCCAACTATGGAATTCAAAATTTTGATTGTATTTTTTTTACTTTAAACCATGCTAAAACAATAAAATATTGTTGATACTGATGCGCTATCGTAATATCAAAGAAAACATTAGTCTGACTGTAAGTACTATCTCAAAAAAAAAAACCCATACCCTATCTTGATTAGAAGCTCATGGGTATATTCTTTAGACTAGAAATTGCAAATTGCAAGTGAAGTGCTGCGAAGAACAACTGCATATAAATGGTCTTCGAACAAAATTATTTATGCGAGTAAAGTGAAAATAATGAATAATAAAACTATAACAAATAATATGAGACACGACCCATTGTCTATATTAGAACACTTCTCATTGGGTAACAAAGTCGTAATTTTTCATTTTTGTCAAAAAGTGTCTATAGTGTGGTGAATTATGGCTTAGGTTTTTTTTAAATAAAGTTTCAAAAATTTCTATGTATGTGGAAAATGTAGTTGATTACCAAAGGTTACAATTTTTATTTTGAAGACTGCATAGTCTAGGAAGTGTACATTTTTTTATGGGGCAAGTTTCCAAGGGCGGGTTTTCTGGGCGAGTTGAATGCCAAAGAGTGTTGCCAAAGTGCAAGCCAGCGTGTTATTTGATCACAAGTGCGAGACATATCACAAGTGCGAGACATATCACAAGTGTGAGCCAGCGAGCCATGACGTCATGACAATAGATAGAGACGTTAGCCAGTTGTGTGAAGTATCGACTGAGATTTGTGGAGTACAATTCAAAAAACAACTATAGGTCTAATAATGAATTATTGTGATGTTAAATAGACAATGTTAGCTATCAAAGAGCAATGTTGTTTTTCATTGGGACCTTCGTCCCTTCAAGGCTAGGCCTATATACCATCCTAGCTAGTCTAGGCCTAGAGTAGGATAAGGCTAGCGCGACATGCGGACGTTGGTACGAGTATGTTAGTCTACAAACGTCGCCTAAAGTAATTGATTTTACCCGGCAGAACGAAAGAAGGAAACTCCGCTTTTCAGTCGTCTTAAGCGCTCGTTTTTTGACAAACAATGACCTTTCAGAGGTCAAATTGCTGTCGAGAATATGAATTGGCTGCTTTGCAGCAATTAAGTCCATTGGGCTTTCTATTCGAGGTTTTATTGTATAAATTTCACAAATATTTTTTTTTTAGTAAAACAACTGTCACCCTTAAAATTCAAACTTAAAAGCATCAAGTTAGCATTTGGTAAATACAACTGTATATGAAAAATCAAGCTGGCCTATAACAATGTGTAAGAAAAAAAATGTGAGCGGAGTATTTCATTGACTTAAATAAACTTTATAGAAAACACTAGTTTGTCATAACATCATTAGGTACAGCTGATAAAACTGATGTACCTGAGACATAAGCTAATAAAGCTAAGGTTTTCAATATTATTATTGTTATGCCTCTGCATTTAAAGCACCCACCTAAGTTCAATATAATAGGACATAACTACCTATTTGTCAGTTTTGAGTTGTATGATTACTAACACTACAGAACATACTTGCAAATTGAGGAATGGAACAAGCATTAACATAGTTTTGGAAACTATTTGTACACATAGTAAGTATGCTTTTTGACTTACTAGTTTCATTCAAATATAAACATTTCAAAAAAACATTTAATAACAACAAAGTTACTGTAAAATTACATATTATATGCTTAAAGGCAATAGAGTTTTGCTAAAGAATAATTTTTTAAGCAGACATTTGATTCTATTTCTTGAATTATGATTAAGATATAAAATAACAACCAGTCAAATAAACCTAAAAGTTTGCTTTTTTATGATAGAAAAATGTTAGTGCATTTTCAAATTGATCAATTATTCAATCAATCAATCAATCAATCAATCAATCAATCAAACAAACAATCAATCCATCCATCCATTCCATCAATCAATCACAAATCAAAACTACTGTATATCAGATGAAATTTGAAAAATGTACAGTAATATCTCCAAATTACGAACCTCTCATTTACGAACTCTTGATTTTACGAACCGAATTTGCAGCGATGACATCATTACGAACGATCATTTTTAACTACAAAAACACTTTAAAATGTATTTAAAAGTCTTCTGAAATAAGTTAAATTGTTACATCAGCTAAGAGAGAAAACATTCAAACCTACAGAGTTTCAAGCACGAAATATCAATCGGTTTTAGCCAAAATATATATTTCAGCTGTGCATGCTTGTTCAGGCATACTGTGCCGTAAAACTCACTTTTTGACCATTGGGGGGCTATTCGCATGGATTCGCAATCTTTATGAAAATAATAATATAACACTCGTTTTGGGCATTATATGGTCATGTTTTCATTCAGAAATCACTTCAAATGAATACTAATTTTGGCTTCTGTAAAGTATTATTTTGTTGGAGAAACCAGTAAAATCCAAGTCATATTTTGTGATAAAAATTTTTCTCTCATGGCAAGGCATAGGGTCTACCCTGTACTTCGTAGCGTACAGTAGGCCTAGCCCTACCCTCACCACATCTGAGATGCTGAACATTTGAATTCTCTGAATTACAAATTCTCTCATTAACGAACTCTGTTTGGACAGAGGTGTAAGTAATTGGGAGATGTTACTATACTAGTGATCTAATTGATACTAATCATACAATCAATCAATCAATCAATCAATAAAAGGAATTTGTCCATTGGTAAATAAAAGAAAATAACTGTAGATAAAAATAGGGTATAAATAAGAGTAAAATAGTAAACAAATACATAGATTAGGGGGAACGAAAGGGGGTAAAATAAAAATGGAATAATTTATGATTGTTCCAGAGAGCTACCTACTGTAAAAAGAGGTGCAACTTCTACATGGTGATCCAAAAGCCATGCCCAAGGAATTACAGCAGTCGTCCATAGTTGTGGTCATGTCTGTAAGGGGCGCAGCACAGTGACTGCCGGTGATTCTTCTATAGCACGGACCGGGGGCGGTCGGCTGTGACTGATATCGTGATGATATTTGTGTACCTCCTATGATACAAAGAATATACATAGAGAAAGAGACTCGGAAGAATAGATAAAGCGTGTTTGCATAAAATTAGAGAGGTCAACTTTGATTGGTTTTCAAGATTATGGTTTATCTAGATTACTTTATGGAATAATGTCTGAAACTGAACTGGAATATAGTAAATTATTTTGAGCATATAAGGACATGACAAAATTTGGTTAGGATTTTCTTATTTATCTTCACCTGGTAGAAAGGGAAGTCTTCCACATGAAAACCCCAACTCTCCCCCTCCCCCACAAAAAAAAGTAATATTCTTCAAACACTTTGCATTGAACATACCACAGCAAAACTGGGAGCAGAAATCCTGAATACTTTAGTTTTATTGGTGTAATAAGGGAGGGTATTGATGTAGGTAAACTTCAGTAAATATCAGTTTGCTGTCGGAAAAATTATGCATTTCTATTACAAAAAAATAAATAAAAAATAGGTCAGGGGTGTAAAAATAGACATTTAGAGGATGCTAACTATTATTTTTAAAATGACCTAATTAATATGCTCTTTATGGTAAATGTCAATATGATGCTTAGGGATTTGGTGAGTTGATTTTAATAGCAAAAACCAATTTGCACTTACAGGGATTGAACCAGGAAACCTGGAATTTCAAGGTAAGCACCATGGGCCGAAAGCTATTTTTAACTCCAATATTATTCTTATTATTAGCCATAATCTTATATAAAAATGCAATTTCATAGATAAATTTTGTATAATTTAAGTAAATAATTTTATTATTCTTATTATTAGCCATAATCTTATATAAAAATGCAATTTCATAGATAAATTTTGTATAATTTAAGTAAATAATTTTATTGATCAAGTACAATGCAATGTAAAGCTTTTAATATACCATCACTTTAAATTCTCTATAATAGTTTTTACATTATATTAATATTATAATGTATTAGGGTCTCAAAATGCATGTTAAACTATTATATGTAAAGGGAGTGAAAACAAATTGAAAATTGGAGGCAGTGAGAAAAGCTATGGAGCTGATGATGATGATGATGATAATGACAGTGATGATGACAGGGATGATAATTATGAGAAAACAGACTGGACTATACTGTAGATAATGAGGCCTAAAAAAATAAATTGTTTGTTTGCCCACTTTTTTTTTAATTATTAAAAGGGGTGGGTTGAAAAAGTTTTTTTTTTTTTTTTTTTTTTTTAATAAGATTACTCATTGATGGAATAAAAATAACACAGTTGGCATTTTGCAATGAATGTAGGCCTAGAATGGCAATATCTTACATCAGATAAAAACTTTAGACAACTCTGTAGCGCATCTGGCAAAAAATAATTATCATTTCACTCACATTTTTTTTTGGTAAAGAAAAAAAGCTAAAAAAATATTTTTTTAAATATTTTTGTTATGTCGCCCCTATTTTTTTCAGTGATATAGGGGCGGCTGTGGGAGGCAAACAAACATTTTTTTTTCTTAGGCCTGATGATAATGATGATGATAATGATGGTACAGTATAAAAACAAATTAAGTTTAATAATGATGATAAAATGATATTAGTAATAACAATGTTGCATCTTATGATGAACATAACATGATGTTAATTATGAGTTGGATGAGTCGAACATCACCCCATTCAAACTATTACAATAGTAATAGGCTTACCTTACCGCATTGTTCAATATTTACTTTATGGTATGAGTATAATTTTTATATAAATAACTTTATAGCCATGCAATTTTAGTTAGTAAAAATTTAAATCTTAGTTTTTTTTCTAAAGAAAGAATATCTATAGCAGATATTATTAGTAGGCCTCTATATAATAATGGCATTTTATATAATAGTACGTGATACTATACATGATTATACTGATTGTTTGGACATAACTGTACTATGATCCCTCGGGTGTATTCCATAATTAATGGTAAGGCTATAAATAATCAGTGCACTGGTAATAGTCTTGGGTGGGTGAGATAGCGTGAATAAAGCATTCTAACAAGTGATTGGACTTGGATTCGATCCCAGACCTTATGAATGGAAGCCACAGCTTTACCATTCCACCATATGCTGCTACATACCCACAAGCAATTCATCACAACACAGATGATCGATAAAATATTTATATAACATTGATAATTAGATTATAAATTTCTATATTAAATCCTATTGTAAAATAAGACAGATCTTTTTCTAATAAGAGACAAATCATTTTGTAAAAATTCATCCAATAAACAATTTGGGACATATGAATTTTTAAATCTTGGCAAAATAATTCCTAAATTGAACTTTCTCAACCTGGGACCTCTGCTAATATCCTAAATTCATAATATTATTAAAACATCATTTGTAACAATAAAACTACTTATATTACATTATAGAATGACACATGATATTATAATTGTAATAGCAGATTACCAAATGATAGCCAAGCAAACTAATGGAAAGGTGTTGACAACAACGTTGACGTACATTCATTGTAAACATGTGCATTAATTGAGTCTAAATCCTATGTAATTATCAAGATATATATATAGGATATTCAGAGGATTAAGAAATTTGATCTGTACTCTAAATCTTCAAAAAGGAAATTAAATAGAAAAACATCCACCTTGCTATAAATTAACGGAAATTTCTAATAACTACTTGAAAACTGCTCTGTAATTCAGATGGTAGAATGGTAGATTAAGGTCTATATCCAAATTGAACAATTTTAAATTTTGGTAAATGAATAAATATAAAACATGTTTTAACACACATCTTTTCCCATATCAGCTGGCACCCACAAATACTGTTTAGGCTAAAATTTGTATACTGTATGTTTTTTATGACTTTTGAAAGATCATGAGAGTGGTTTTACCAAAACAATTTATGTGGAGGGGAAAATAATTTAGAATTTCTGATTAAGTTCATTAATTTAAATCCAATCATGTGGCTATATAAGCGAACTAATAAAAGCTTATTTTATAAAGTTTTCTTCAGAAGAATGATAAAAAAAAAGAAACATTCTAATTCCTTTTCTCAGCAGCAGCTGTGCTAAAATGGCCGAAAACTCTTAAGTAAAAAGTACAGAACTGGAAGAGGTCTGACACTTGGGTTTTCATTGGAACGTAATCCTATCTAAAAAAGTACAATCATGAATTAGAGGGCGTCCTTAAAAAGAATGTAAAAGGCATTCGTATCGAGCTAATAAAACGCTCCATATCTCATGGCAGGATTTTTTTAAATGTTCAATTGTGCGAATACAAAATAAGGGCAGTTGGACCGCTTGCAATTCTATACTCTTCAGGGGAGGATCCACAGATGTCCAAAGGGGGAGGGGGAGGCGGGGTGAAATTTGGGGCCGATGGAGGCAACACTACCCTAGAGGGTCCAGGGGCATTCCCCTGCGAAATTTGTGTTTTCTAGACATCCAAAAATAACCTCTGAGGTGTTTTGGGCGATCAATTATTTCTTTTTCTTTCTTTTTTTCCCCCTTCTTTTTAACTTTCCAAAAAGGGGAAGGGGAAGGCAACCCTAAATCTGCCCCTTCTCTTTGTTTTAAGCACTAATTTTGTACGGTAGCAAAACATGACATTAAAAAGGCTTGCATAATTGTGTCTGATGGAGGACTAATTGGTTTGTTTCAAATCTTCTTAACCTACATATAGATCAATTTGTCATCATCTTCATAGGTGGTCATAGAAAATGAAATAATGGAAGAACCACATAGGTTAACCACTTACAATAAGTCACCTATTTGAAAAAGTCTGTTTTAAATGATTTACAGGTATTACTACAATAATCCTTAAATTTTCTGCTAAAATGCTATAGCAACTGTACAATTTTTCATCATTTCCAGCTCTGGAAAAACCATCCGCTTGCTTGTCGAAAAAAGATTTTTTGGCATTTTTATCTTCTGCATGAATCTTTAAAACTTTTTGTGTATCTGATAGAATTTGGTTGAGTATTAGCGAGGTTATGAATATTTAATTCCTGAATATCAGCCATGTCGGTTTTGAGAAAACAGCTTCCAAAGATTCCAACATCAATAGTTTATTATTAAAACTAGTATTTTAAGAATAATTTTAATACACATTCAGTTAAATTTAGTTATTGATATTTTGCACAATTGTCCTACAATATATTTTCTTTTATAAAATACGAAAAAACTACAAATGTTCAAAATTCTGATTCCCAAACATTTTACGTGCTTGTGCAAAGTTAGAAATTGCGACAAATGCCAGGTAGTGCCAGAACCTGTCACAAAAATTACATCATTCTAATTTTCAAATGAAAGTTCAGAATTTTAGAAGGCAATAAACGTTAATTGATCTTTTGTGGAAGGTTTTCAGGCTGGATTATTAGTGTTCTACAATATTTTTAAAATCCTGCCATTTAAATTAATTGAACCCAGAATTACGGTATTAGAATGTAAGCACCAGCTAGGTGCTCACTTTTCAATTAGTAGAGCAAAACAACATATATTTGTGTGTCCTTTAAATTTCATGTTTATAGAGCATCCTGTTCTGCAATTGGCAAGTGTAAATAACAGGAATAAAATGACATTTTTATGCATGTTTACATTAATGATCACTTGGCACTTTGTCAACAGAATGTAATCTGATACAAAAACAATGACATTTGATCCTTTTAAAGTAGCATGTTATAAATCATCACACATTGTATGTTACTGTGGACTGTTACATTATAGGTATAGCAATATGCTTACACATTCATTTGTGCCTACAGTTGACACCTCAAAAGGTCAACTTCAAAATCAAAACAAGCAGCCCCTTAATTTCCCCTTAATACAGCAGGGGTGAATAATATTTGGTCGTAGTGTTACAATATATTTTCTTTTGATTCCAACCAAAAAAGTGTTCCCTTAAGTCCCGAAGGAGTCTGCTGTAAATGAGAAACATTTGCGATCAAACTAAACAAATTATAATGCAATAATAATTTCAACAAATGTAAAATTTACAGAATAGAACAGGTACCCAAATATAGTATTGTACAATTGCAATAACATAAATAATGAGTATAACAAATACCTTCAGCATATATTACCAATTGTATACTTAGGAGTAGAAGAAATGTATATTGTATGCTTTCTTCTCTCTATTTTGTCTCATTGTAACATCAATTAAATTAACAATTTTACTTATATTTTTCACTAGCACTCATGTTCTATTTTAAGGAAAAGTTAGATATCTAAGGACTGCTAAGGTGCACAGGTGCTAGGCTACAATGATGTATGGTAAGGATACAAGAGTGCACCTCCCTAAAATTGAATTAAGAAAATAATTCTTGTATTGTATTGCTGATATAAACATAGACCTATTACCGATAAGATTTTTAAGGTATGAGAGTGCAATTTCCTTCCAAATTTTCTCACCTCAGCACCATTAATGGTGGTTTCGACTCTCACGCACCCCCTACCGCCAAATCCTGCATCAGTACCAGAGGTGAATAAGAGGGTACAAACATGTATACTTAGTAGAATAAAAGGGCATATACCTCAGGGAATAGAGTAGAAGGTTAAATACAGTAGGTACTCAAGTAAAAGTATGTGTATCTACTAAAGTAGGGTGTACAGGTAAAGATATTAGGTATGCAGGATGCAGATGCTAGGGTGAAGGGTGTCCAGGTTCAAGGTTCCACACTGCTTCCAGCATTAACGTTGAAATTGGAACATAAACAAAGGAGGGTAAACAGAGGTTATGATTGTGAAGAATAAAAACTGGCACATGGCCTAAAAAACTAATTTCATAACCATCACATAAAAGGCAACTGTTCCCATTTGACATGTTAGAACATGGAAGTTCAAAGGTCATTCTACAGCAAGTGATCACAAAATAATAAACATGTTTGTTCTTCAAATCAATTCTAAGTGTCATATCCTAGAGTACAGTACTTACTGTACATACCAATGGTACATTATTTTTCCAAGAAATATATAAAGCTTTTTACCAGATTGCACCTCAAAAGGACGATAAAATGCAAAAAATTATTCCCCTAGGTCCTGTTGGATTTAGATTTAGCACCTTCACTCTCCGTTCTGTCTCCTCCCTCCCCTAAGCATCTTTCTCACATCCTGGATATGGCATTAACTTTTACGTCAACCTTCCTTTTGTTGTAACGAACTTCTCAGGAAAATGATTTGTTAGTAAAGTTGCCTCATATTTGCATAATCATGCCATTATACATGCTTGTTTGTTTAGTATTAGCTGTCAAATATTTGCAAGCATTGTTACCAATATGAGCTGGCAAAAAAAAAAACCCCATGTCAATCTGGAAGAATTATCTAGCGTATCGAGACGCATGCGGCCCAAGTTAAACGTTAATTGACATGATACTGTGTCAGATTGTTAAACAAGAACAACTGCTACACGAGATCTGATAGAATACGATCTCTCACTTACTGTTGTAATTCCACGACGTACGGTACACAGATAACTGCCTGTATCCGCCCACCGGTTGTGAGTAAGTCCTCGTCGATGACACCGATGATGTCTGTCTTTCGCAATAACTTCCAACATATCCCGACGGACAGCTGCAGTAGTTAGGACGTAAACAAGTTCCACCATTTTTACAATACGGAACACACAAGGCTGAAAGCAAGTAAGCCGAGACTTAATAACTAACCAATGAAAAACTATCTGCTACCTATTTGTGCAATGTCTATATTTAGATACTGCAGTTGAATTAGAACCCAAAACACACTTACTAACATAATTTCATTAGAAATCTGTTGAACTTTTGCACCATGGAACAAATGCAGGTATATAACAGTAATGTGTATAAGAGGGGTTTCCTATGAGAGCATGAGGTCCAGTGGGGTCCGGGGAAAGAGCACTTGCAGTGGTCAGGGGCAAAGTTCATAGAGCATTCTAATATGTAAATGATCTTCAATCTTATGGTTTCAAATGTTGCAAGGGAAGGAAATGGGTTGGTTTATCAAAGGGTATGTTTGCGGTAAAAAAAAAAGGGGGGATGGGATGGTGGCTCCACCATATCCTACCACTCCTCAATTTCAGTTAATGGCCTGAAACATCTCATCAATTAAAAACACATGTTGTGTTATATTCTAATGAATGGCACATTAATAATTATTTATCTACCATATTAAAGAGAAATCAGGGAATTTTTATTACTCTCCCCAATATCATTCCATTCCCTTATGCAACAACAATCAGTAGGCCTACACATTTCTAAAAATAACATAGCATTTATAAACAATTAAAGTAGAAGTTTTACTTTTATATAGGGTTATATTTTTTAGCTAAAGTAGAATAAAGGGGTCTTCTTTAAATAGACCCTCTTATATGTACAAAAAAGTTTTAACGATAGTAAAGCGATGAAAGGAGTTAACACATTGTGGTTAATTAACATTAAGAGTTGCAACTTGGTGGTTAAGATACCTCCTTTCAAATTAAAAGATCCTTTGTACATGTTTAATTGCTTATTTCAAATGCCCCAAACCCAAGTTTTATCAACCTACGTTTTGTACATGACCCCGTCGACGGGTCATACTGCCAACCTGTGCAGCATCGACCGCCACAAATATTATATCTGAAAAACAAGAAAAAAGTGTTGAAATAAAAACTAAAATTTCAGAAGTAAAATGATATTCTTTCCTGTCAGATCAACTTCAGCTGTTAAATCTACTGGGAAAGATATATTTCTTTCATTGTCATGACATTTGTGGAATAGTAGTCATCAGTCTACAGAGAATTAAATGGATACAGTAATAAATATGGGGAGGGGAAACATGTGTTTTCACTTGGAACAACCCCAGTGAATAAGGCTGTAAGTTACAGTTTAGGAAAGCCAAGTTTTTCTTCGCAAGGTTTTCGTTCAACACCAAATGCACAAATGCTACGAAATAATCAATCTTCCTAGAAAATGAAAAGAAATTGTGATAAGGGGAAAAAATGGTAATCAGGTTTGTATTTTTCTTTTTGGAATCAACTTTTTTCACTTCACTTCTTTCACTTTTTTTTCTGATTTTTGACATTATTAATATTAAAATTGTATAATAGATTAGGTATTAAGATAATTCACCAACGACAGTAAGTGATATGAAACTGTGCTTGAAGTGGGCAGGAACAGGGTTACATAGGACCCCTCGAAGGGGGATCCAGGGACAAAAAGGATTTGAAAAGCTTCTATAATTTATTCTGTCTCATAATCTAGAAAAATTGCACAGGATTTTTTTTTTCTCAATTAATTGTTCTCAGGGAGGTGGGGATGCATCTCTTCCTGATTAAGGACCCTGGCAAAATGCGTAACTACTGGCACCACTACTGATCTACACCAACCAGCAAGGTAAACAAAATTTATAAGGTTACCGTACAGTTCTAAATGTTGCAGTGTTGAACCATACAAATTTATGTTAAATATATGTAAATAGAATTACATATTGGCCAATTCAAGCCACTTGAGGAAGGCAGAGAGACAATGGATGACAACGATCAGACGGACACGTGGGAATTTCCTTGTGAATTGGTGGAGATTAAACCTGGCATGGCTATCACAACGAGCCTGACTTTCATAAAAAAATGATTTTGAAAGAATGAGAAACAGAACAACTTCAACAAATTTGAACAAATTTGCTATCGTGCATGATGTGATAGCGACTGCTACCTTTTAGTGTACTTCGAGTGAACTCTTGAGCAACAGAAATCCTAATGTTACATTGTAAGTGAAGAAAAAAAGATTTTGGCAAAATGTTTCTGATAAGGTTGTATGTCAAAATTCTCACCCAAACAATGCTAAATGATCTTCAAACCTCTTAAAACACACTGAAAACATTTAATAAAACTTAAAAACCTTTGAGATTATTTTATAAGTAAAATTTAAATTTTTTAAAGAATATACCACTAGCTTATTTTAGTCATAATGGCTGCCTAGATTCGTTGGCCGCTTTAGGTGAATTAGATTATAACCTTTACGCAAGACTGTAATTACTTGCTATTACATATTACTTATTATTACTTGCAAATGTTCCTATAAACCACATAAATCAATCAATAGACATTAAATGTTCAATTTCATTTATTTCCAAATACCGTAACATGAAGGCCCCTTGATATCAGCTCTTCAGCAATGGAGAGCTGAACAGGTCACCCTAGTTAAATATGGTTTAAATATAATAAATAAAAAAACATACATTAAGCTAAATACGGTTTTATATAAATCATACAGAACTTATAGCCTTCCCCCTCCCCCACTCCACTAGAAATACTGATAATAAAATATATGATATTCACATGACAAAATTGAGAAATTAATAAATTAAGATTTTTTTTTTACAGTTCAATATAAGTTTAATATAATTTTCATCCAGTAAAATACATGCCAATATACTGTGCATGCAATATTTCGGTGTTTTACCGTAGCACCTTTATAAAATAACAAGAGTGACCGTGCACAGGTCCGCACGGTCCTCCACACTTAAATATGGTACAAGCGCAAGTTATTATAATGGATTTTTGGAAGAGCTAATAAGAAATTTTTAAATAATTAGAATATTTATTTGTACAAAAAAATGTATTATTTAGAATGTTAATTTGTACAAAATTAAAATATCTTAAAAATAAAATTTCTTAAAATGAGAAAAAAAACAAAACAAATTAAATACCACAATGCAATTCTAACTCACAACCTTTCCTTTTTTTTTTTTTGCCTTTTTTTTTTAAAGTTCAGTAAAACACATCCTGAACCGACCGCGCCGTCCCATTAGTGGTAATGGCAGTAATGTACAGTCCTTGCTGAAACCCCTGTTTTGTTTGTAGGTGTAGGGTGAACACTGGGGTCCAACTTAAAAAAAGGGCGATGAACGTTTATTGGAAATCACCTCTAGTTTATGTGTACAAATTTTCTGCACGTCCGTTGAAAACTGGCGATGCCGGACGCTTCTAAAAATTCTGGTAACAAGAACAAGAACAGCAGTGTGGCTCCGGTGTCAGCGACTTTCACGGACCCAACAAAATAATAAAACAGAATAGTACAGACAACTTAAAAACTAATTTCTAATACACTGAAATATATTAATAACTGTACCTATAAAAGTACCAGTATAGCAGACTACACATGGTCATTAGGATTACAATACATGACTAACTGTTAGGATTTTCTACCTAGGCCTAATCGTTTCAGGAAATGATCCTTTTAATCATTCAGTCTTTGCAAATCCCACAGAGATTCTAGCTAAACATCCTCTATCAAACAATGCCATAATGACAAATCAAATGTAGTATTTAAAAGGACTACACAGTATAGGTACACTACACAACGTACGGTATTTCTTCTTGCAATGTGTCTAGAAGTATGGTACCGTAAGACGTACGGTATCTCTGAATTAAACGTAGTATATAGAACTATAGGTACACC